ACACACACACACACACACACACCCTCAGCTTGGAATTATTTCAATGTTAAATATCACCTAAGGATGGGGTTATCAGTGACACACACACACACACGGCTCAGCCTGGAATTTCAATCTTAAATATCACCGACGGTTGGGGTTATCACTAAGAAAGCCTACAACAGACCTTCAAGCCTCCCTTTCTCTCACAGTCTTTCTGTTGGAGGTACTGTCGAGTTGGGTCCAGCTCTTCTTACTCACTCCATGTACAGCAGAAAGAGACACTGCCCGGTCCTGCACCAGCCTCACACTGCGGCCACGTGTGAGTCCGACATGGCGGTCACTGTGCGAGTCCACCTCTTTGGTTTTGGTTAACTCTTCCCCACACATGAGCTGCTTCTCAGGGCCTGGTTCTTCTGGTAACATGGTCAGAGTAAACGAGGTCTCGCTGTCCTCACGACACAAATCACTTCCTGGCCGCCCGGGCCTCCTGCCTTCTCTCTCTGCCTCTCACACTCTCAACTTGGCCTCCCGTTTTCTCAACTCTTCATCTGTCTCTCCGATGACAGCTGGTCTCGGAGATTCCCTCATTTATTTCAAGTTGATTAAATAGCAATTAATGGTGAAAAGCAACACTTGATGGGTTTTAATAAGCATGGGTATTTATAGATATAAAACAATAGCTCGCCAATGTCTCCTGATTAACTTGCGCCTGTAACAATGCTTAATCTTCTCCTTTGCATGGCCGCGTGTTTATAAAGGATGTTTTGAAATTTAATTGGTATTGTGAAAAGATAGCCTATAGCAAGTTAATTAGACACTAATTAGACCCTAAAAATACTAATCAGAAATACTAAGTGGCATTTAATAAGTATGTTAAATATCCTTCTTATTTTGCTTCTGTTGTTTTGTAGCAATGAATACTGCCGACCTTTCCGGGAGTGGATTAAGAAACAAGTTGAATGTTTTAATTTAATTTAATTAATGTAAATTTGAATTAATTATGCTGTTAGAATTAATTGTGTAGTGTGTTCCCCAGCAAGTGTAAAATCTGGGTAAATATTATTTTATTGGGTTTGGGCCAATTACAATTATGATTTTTCTCTAAATAAAGGAAAAGAGTGTTTTGTAGATTTCTTAAGCCATTATCTCAAGGCCTCGTCTGTAAAAGTAGCCCTTCGGACATGCACCAGGCAAAGAGGAAGATAATCGTGTGGGCTCAGGGTTCTGCAGTTCTGGAACTGAGGTCCAAAATGAGGCAGGACAATGGCTTCCAGTGGTGACGCTGAAAGCTTTGTTTCGGATTGCGAGTCACCTGACTCTCTCTCCCCGTCTGAAGAGGAGAACACTTGGGGCTACAACACCTCCCTGTGGGGTCAGGAAGAGAGTATCAATACTGTGTGGACTGTGATGGCCAATCGACGGGCAATATGGCCCGTGTGCTGGGTATCCGTGGTGTGAACTCCCTGTTAACAAGGGCCGCGTTTTCTTTGGCAGCCTGTGGGTGTCTTTGCCCAGTCAACAACCTCACTTCTGGGAATCTATTCCAGGGGCATCACGTGACACTAGAAAAGGACCTGGGCACATTCTAAAAGGGGCCACAGGGGAAGAACCTGCAGAGAGTAGGAGGGAACACGGAACAAAATGAAAAGCCATATAAAAGGCCAGGCTTACGGGTCTGAGGGAGACTATGACCCTTAGTCACCCTTAGTCTCCAACAGAACTCACCCCACGGTTTCACTTTCAGCCCAACAGGAAACAGGTCTACAAGGTGACCGACAGCGACAGCGACATCGACAGGAGGCAGGCCCTCCTGAGAACAACTAGAGAAGGCCAGCAGAGCAGTGTCTTCTTAAAGACAAAGCCCTGAAGACAGGGAAAGGGAGTGGGCAGGAGGAGTAATGGAAATGAGAATTACAGAGAAGAAGTGGGAAATGTTATTACATTAGGTGGTGTTATGTGCCATCAAGTCGCTTGTACCTCACAGCAACCCTGTTTCCAACAGCTCTGAACCCTGCACCATCCTGAGCCAACCTCATTGTCTCTGACACACGACCCTCAATACCCCAGTCACTGAGTCACTCCATCTCATTGAGGGACTTCCTCTCTTGCACTGTCCCTCCACTGCCCCAAGCATGATGTTCCTCTTCAAGGATTGGCCCCTCCTTGTAACATGCCCAAAGTATGTCAGACAAAGCTTCAGAATCCTTGCCTCCAAAGGAGAAACTTAGTTTCATCCTCTCCAGGACAAACCTGGTTGTTAAATATACTCCATGGTATATTTAATACTCTTCTCCAGCACCACAGCTCAAAGGCATCAATTCTCCTTATATCATCCTTAATCACTATTTAGCTTTCTGATGCAGAGAATTGTGATGACCATGGCCTGGATCAGGCGCACCTTAGTCTCCAAACTGACAGAGTACTCTTCAGTACTTTAGAGCGGTCCCTGACAGCACACTTTCCCAACAGGGGTATTGTAATTAATGTTACAAAATTGTGTATGAATAAAAAAAGACAATGTTTTATAAACTTAAGAAACACAAGGTTTAAACTTAAAAAGGACTGTTTTATAAACTTAAAAAAAGTTTTAACAAAGAGATGTGCAGGCAGAGCCGTTCACTGCAGCAAGGTTCTCTATTGTAAGAGGGGCACAGTCACAGTGTGTGTCCAGAGGGGTCTGGCTGGCTCAGCCGTGCACTGTTGCTCCTGTTGGGCGCTGTCAGGAGGGCTTCACGACACAGAGATTCAGCGTCCAAGAAAACACAGCCCTGCCCCGTCCTTTGCCATGCTCACAATCTCGGCTGTGCTCCTACTGTCACTGTCACAGGGTCAATTCCTCTCATCGCGGGTCTTCCTCTCTTGATGACCAACCCTCTCTCCCTGGTGTACGATCCAGCCTCACAGTGGGGACGTGAGGATGATGCCGGACCTGGCAGGGCTGTGTTCTGAGCCACACGAGGTCACAGTGAGACGGAGGAGAGGGGACAGCACCTGACAGCAACCACATCACCACGGACGGGATCAAGGAAGGACGATTATCTCCAAACGCCCCCGTGGGATGATCTCAAAGAGGTACTGCCAATTAAGGAGAAAACTGAGGTGGACATATTGCTATTAATTCAAGATGTCATGGATTGATCAAGTCCTTCAGAAAGACACACGAAAGTCCTAACCCCTGCATCTGTCAGCAGGACCTCGTTTGGAGATGAGGACTGTGTCGTGTTAATAAGCTCATCATATAAGAATAGAGGGGTCCTGAATCCAATCCCTGCCGTGTGGTGTCTTATACAAAGAGCAGAATGGACACAACCACAGACAGGGGACATGTCATACAATGATGGAGAAGCACA